AAAAATAATACCTATTATAGATTGTTACAGAATACCGGCTTTGTTTTCCTAATTGCAATAAATACACATTTATTGCCAAGAATTTTAAAAAAGATAAAATATTTAAAATATGTAGTAAATTTTTTTAGTATGTTTTTTCTTTGTAAATAGTTTCTGGTTGTATATAAATTTGTAAGTGAACATTATTTTAGCTTCAATGTGAAACTGAGACGGTATTAATTTTACTTTGATGTATTTTTTTTAATTAAAATTAAAAAAAAATGTAGGTTTTGAATAGTAAATAATAGAAAAAATGCCGAATTAAAAATGTATAGAAAATTAAATTTAAAACAACGGTTAAATGAATTTTTTTTATGTTTTTATAATGAACGATTTATAAATTAACAGTTTTAACGGTAAGAATAAAACATATACGTTTTTATTTTTTTAGGGCTAAATAAGAACTTTTCGAAAATTTTTGTATATATACTTTTTATATAAAAATTGTATACCTACAAAAAAGGTCTTATAAACTTTTTCGCAAAAGCTAAAGTTTTTGAGATAGACATAAAAAACTAAAAAATCACCCTTGGGGGGTTATTTTTAACCCCCTTGGGGCACGTCTTAGAGTTGACCAATCGTCTCCAAATTTTGTACAATTTATTTTTTCATGTATTCGAATAAGTCTAGGGGATGGCACTAGCAAATATTAAAAAAAAAAAACCTCTCATGTAGCTAAGGGTCACCCTACTGATCATATATTATTATTATTTTTAACTGCTTAATACAAATTGTATAAATACTTTTCTATTAACGTTGTTCACGTCTATAGACATTTATTATTTCAATTTAGCCTAATATATGGCTAAAATAAATGAAAAAATAATCATTACATGATTTCCTTTAAAGTATAATGTAATAAGAGTCATGAAATTTATGTACTCACACTTTTTCATTTATTTAATAATTTTTTTAGTATTATAAATATAAGAATTAAGTTTTATTATTAATTATAGATATTGTCGACGATGAAATACGAATGGATATGTTTACTTTTGTAACGAAAGCTATTGAACCAACAGCTGCTTTGGTCACTGCTACTTTGTATGAATTATCCCAAAATTCAAGAATCCAATCGCAACTCAGAAATCAATTGGATGAAGTGTTGGATGAAGATTTAAATAATTTAACAATTGAACAATTGGATCGTATACCATATCTCGACAGTGTGATACATGGTAATTATATATTTGTTATATACACAATAGTCAGTATTAAAATGATAAACTCAGTAAATCGAATGAAAAGTCTAACTAGGTCTGAAGTGCTTTATTTAAATATATATTTTCCAAGGTGACCAAGTGCAATATTTTAAGAACAGTTGATCTTATTTAGTTTAATCATCAAAATATATATATTTTATAGCCAACTGTAAAAAGTTCATAAATATATATATAAGCCCTTGAATCCATTCAACTAAACTCCACATTTTCCGTATCTCAATCCATCCGCAACTGAATATGGTAATTGTAAAATTTAAAAAATTATAATATAATTTGAAATAAATGTATAAAAACTCTTAGAACATTTCTATGATAAATGTACCAACAAAATCAATAATTATTTTTCGAATAAAATAATAGAAATATGAATTACGTAAATATTTACCTGTTTATTATAAATGTACACAAAATGTGTAAAATGTTTGTAAATATTACTCAATTTTTCGTATGATAAGTATATATATATATATAGAAGTTATTAACAATTTAAAGTAACGACTGCAGCTAAGGTACGGGTATTTTTTTTATCACTAGATATTTCTCTGTACATACAAAATGGTATTTCAGATTAAACTGACAACACTTATACAATTCGATACAAATATCGTTTTACCAAATTAGACTATTTTTAAGCATATCTTTTATTATTTAAAACTAATAAGGAAAATATTTTTAAACTTTTTAAAAAATTATTAAAAAAAATTTTTTTTTCAAAATATTGATGAGTCAACGATAATTTTATGACAAGTGTCATTGAGTTATAAGCATTTTAATACATAAAATGAGTATATAAAGCTGTGAGTACAGCCATTACTGGCATACGCATACTCCGTCCGTGTTACATACACACTTTATTTATTAAATGCTTGTAATTCAATGAGTACATATTCTAAATCAACATTTTTTACAAATGTACTAAAAAAAGACTATTTTAAAATTTTGGAAAAATAAAAAATATATTTCTTCTTATATTGTGATATATTATATACAAATTTTAATAATAAAAATTATGTTCTAAAAAACGACTAAGTAGGCCATAATTACTAAAAAAAAATATTTCATCGAAATGATAATTGGATCAAAAGTTATAAGTGCCGTCAGTTAGATCTAGACATTCTGTATAAATATATACATAGATACAAATTTTTGGTAGTTCAAACATACCTTTAAAATATATTTATTTTGTGATAACCGTACTATTTTTTGCACATAAAAGATACATATCAACCTTTCCATTTTTTAGCTACAAACTGGACCATATGTTAGCTGCGTCTCGTCTACTAACATTTCACAGCAAATACCCCTACAAAGATTTATATACGTTTAGTAAATTGCCAACGATTTCTATTTCGTTTTGCTGGTATACAGTTGAACTTAAACATTTCTTCTAGACTTTGTCCACTGATTCTAGTTTGTGTATCTTATATCTAGTTTTACTATTGCCGACATTTTACGACTGTCTCGTTATCAAAGATTAATTGATAGCGGTTCATTTCAATGATAAAATATTAATCTAATGCTAAATTCCAAATTAAAGATTAAAGAATAATAAGAACAGTACTAAACAAAACTTCTTAACACGCTTATATATTAATTTAAATCTATTAATCATTTTTTTTTTCAAATAGGAAAAATTCAATTTAAAATATACTTTTATGCTAGCCAAAAATTTAAATATAACGTTTAAAACTACAGTTTACTCAAATAATAGATATATTCTAAACAGTTTATCATTTTTCTTGAAAAATGATAAGTAAAAATCGACTTGTTATCTTTCTCCAGTTAAGCGATTCATTTATAGTTGATACGTATGAACAAGTTTTTTTAAATTTATTTTTAAGCTTATTATTTAGATTCTTTAAACACGGCTTTTATTAATATGAATTAGCTATAAATATGACCCTAAAAATATTCTGAAAGACTTAAAATTGGTTGTCAATGTGCAAAACAATTTCTAGACCTCAGACGTACTTTGATATAACAAAATTACACTTACAGTCTCAAAACGTTTTATATTTACTAAAAAAATCTTATAAGATATTTTCTAGTCAAGAAGAATATGATTTTATCACTCATCAGTTTTCTTTGAATACAGAAACTTTTTTATTTTAATATAAACGTTCTCAATGATTCCATGTATGAGAGAAAAAGCTGAAAACTTTTGAGTCTCTACTATGGTTGGAAATCTTCTGGGTCATTAAATATGCGTTCAAACGCTTTGCTTTTATACATAAAAATATTAAAGGCAAGGATAAATAATACGCGTTTAGAGAAATATTTAGAACATAAAATGTGTAGTTTTAAGTTTTACGAAATTGGACTATGGAAATAAAATATTCAACAATTTTATTATTAATTGAAAGAAATACTGTTTTATAATAATTATTATAATTTAAGTAAGTCAATCAGTTTAAATTGTTTCTTAAGTAACTATAAAAAGTTTACTCTGAATTATTTAGTTAATGGATAGTGGTGACCTACATTATTCAAAAGTCGCTTTAAAAACATTGATATGTTGACAATTTAATGTGTGGTTACAACTAAAAAATTTTAGCTGAAATGAAATGAAAGTTAAAAAATCTATTTCTATAACTTTCAAAGTATATAGGTGTTTCAAATGTATTTCAATCATAATTGAATAAAAAACGAACGAATTAATAAACGTTCGCATAAGTAATGATACGTTTGGCAACACCACTGAAGAATTACTGCAAGTTGAAAAAATACTCATTTTTAACTATTTTAACTGAAGTACCAGTCGATTAATCAACTAATTAANGAACGTTCGCATAAGTAATGATACGTTTGGCAACAACACTGAAGAATTACTGCAAGTTGAAAAAATACTCATTTTTAACTATTTTAACTGAAGTACCAGTCGATTAATCAACTAATTAATACGATTAAAATAAACTAAAAAATTAAAGTTGGTTTTTGTTTAAATTTAATTTTAGTTATTGGACAAAGTTATTTTGTTTTCCAAGTTACTTATAATTTTGTAAAGCAATTAAACGTTCGCATTTCTACTCCAGCTCTTCTTTTAACATTATAATCAACCCTTTAATCTTTTAACGACTCCGGTTCTTTTGAACCCGTATAATTCTCTCTTATGAACCTATATCAGTTGATCAATAGTGTAAACATACTTTTGTAAAACAACCAAACTTATAAATTCTCGTCTAAAGTATAACTTTAGATTAAAATCAATGCATATTACATGTACATGTAATTAAATGGTTAAACACATCGTAATGGCTGTTACACCAAACTTTTATTTTATAAAAAGATTATAATAGTACTGTATGAACCGATGTGTTCGTATTCATTTACTTTGCGACAAATTCTACAAAAATCGAAAACATTTTATTTTATCTATCGGTATATTATTTATATTCTAGTGTTTTTTCAAGAGGTTAAAGTTATTAAGTTTTTTTTAACAATGTTTTTACATTATATATTTAATGATATGTTTCTTAGAACAAAGCCACGTTGTTAAATAAGCAATTTATTGGAGATCAAATATTAGAGACTTTTTCCCTCTAAGTGGGCGTCGAGTAATATACTCTTATTTTATACTTTAGACCTTTTTCAAGTAACAAAAAATATTTACGCAGTTTTATTAAATTTGTCGATTTTTTCATCATTTGTTATAATAATAATGAAGTGTTCTCAACTATCCCGAGGTAAATAATTTTTATAAAACAAACGTTACCTTTAAACCTAGCAAAATTTTATCCGCTACACCAATTTAAACTTAGCACAATTTAATTATAAAATGTACTTCAGCAAAACAATAGCTAGTTTAAGCGTTTAATTATTATGGCGAAAACGTTGTTTGGTATAATAATAACAAAACAGGTTAGTATGCGCTGTAATTATTTTATCCGCGCAAACCCTCTATTGATTGATCAAGAGCTTTCTTCTAATCCGTTCAGCACACAATATTTCGTTTTGATAGTACAGTCATTTTGATATCAATACGCATACACACACACGTGGTAACATCAAAGTCCTTAAAGAAACTGGAAAAGTTGTTTTTCTCTCTCAATAAAAGCGTTATTGTGTATAAGCCATGAAGCCAAACGTTTGTCTACTTCTTTTTACTTTAAATTTTCTAACCTTGTAGCTCTATCTTCATGAGCACAATACATACTTATGAAATACTCGAATGAGTTAATAAGTTGTCTGGTTTGACAGTATTTTTAGGAGCTTAAATTAAAGTTTTTTTACTATCTGAAATGTATAAACGTATTTGACTAACGAAAAGCAATTAAAAAAAAATTTGTACGTCGATTGATTTATTAAAACATGTATCTTTTATGATAATGGTTATATAATATAGGAAACAATTTTATGTGTGACTTGAAAACTTCAAAATTCATGACAAGATAAAAGATACAAGATTTAAGTCGCTATTACGTAATTGCATAAAGTAATTTATATTTTTTTGAAATATTATTTAACGGTTTGTCATGAAAAATATTAGGTTGATTCTTAAATGAGAAATTTTGAAAGTTGATTTACGCGCACTCAAAAATTGATTTACTACTTATAATAAGTAAGTTATGCAAAAGTTATCGTTCACTTATGGAGACTAAATTTTGACAGCAAAAAAAGTGAAATTGAGTTAATAATTTCTTTGATATTAAAATAACACATATTCATTGATTCTAATAAATTAGTACATAAATTAATAGAATTAAGCATTTATTTAATAATTTAATATTTTTTTTTAATGAGTATCTATAATTAATTTTTAAGTTCAAATAACGATAAGCATTAATTAATTAATATTTTATCTCAAATTAATAAAAAAGTAAGATATATACAGGACTGTAATAAGAACTAATGTCCATAGTAATGAACTAATTTATGCCCGATCACACAATTTGTTTGTTGTATAACCATAAAAAAGATGGTTATTTGAAAGAAAATGTAAAAAAAAATTACGATTAATTTCTACAAATATTGTAAATAATTATTATAACTGAATGAACTCGTTGAAATTGTGCCTTTGAGATAAACATAGAGAGTCATCTCAAGTTTAATTCCTCCACAAAGTAAAATTGATATTTTTTTTTCATTATTTTACATTTTTTAGAAAAGTTAATATAATTTCAGTGAAATACTACTTAGTCTATCAATCAATATTATCTAACTTAACTTATTAAAAAATAAAACCAAAATTATTTACTAAATTAGAGTTACTCCGTAAAGGATTCTCGTTAAAATACCAGTAAAGTTAGTGCGCTTACTGCCCAGCTTTGTCTATATTTAGGTAATAGATTTAGTTTTTCTGAATAACGTTGTATTTTAAATGTTAACGATTTGTGATTTTTGGTTTTGAGGCGAAGGTGAGAAGGTTTTAATTTTACTATGATGTGTTATTTTTTGTGTCTATAACCATTTATTTTCAGCTCTCAGTGGACCGAATTTGATGAACAATACGTCAAAAGATCACAAATTGTACATAGTCAAAGACATTACTCACAAAAAATGAAAAAAATTCCCCGTTTTCCGTAAATGATTGACATCCCCCCAAAAAAATACAAATTTAAAAATCGGTAATTTTCGACATTTTTTCAACTTTTTTACTTGAAACTGCAACAACTTTTTGAAAAATGGATGAATAGAAACAACAATTTTTTCATACATACATTAGGTATTTCTAAATCATTTAGTATATGTTCTTTTTAAATTTGACCCTTTATCTGCCCACATCATTCAAAATGATAATTTTTCCACAAACATTTTCAACGTAACTTTTGTAAATATTCCGGAAATACTGACACTTTTATAAATATATTAAATCATAAATTATGTTATATACTTTAATATGAAAAAAAAAATTTCGAACTTTAGATTGTTTTCATAGTGAAAATGACACCATATTAAATAATATATTATTTTTGATTTAAAATTCTTGGTTTTGTGTTTTATTTTATTTTAAAACAACTTTCAAAGTGAGTACACTGATTTCCATAAATATTATATAAATCTAATTAACATATATTATAATGTTAAACTTATTTTAATTTTTTTGCTTCTTTTAAGTCGATAAAAATAACTTATAACAATAAATAAAATAGCTATAAATTATCATTTTTATCTAATGACATATGCGCTGTACGGTTGCGAATTAGTAACACTTGTATCTTTCACGCTTGAGGTACTAATTTTAATACTGTAAAAATTAATTATGAAGAATTTATGTGTTGAACTTTACATATTTTAAACTTTAAACATTATTATTATTATATCAATAATTAAACAAGTGTTAACAAAACTATAATATATAAAATTACACACATCTATTTCATACATATTTTTGCTATAAATATGATTATAACATTAAAAACTATTTAATCTTTCATTTTAAAACTTTAAAAAAATCAAAAACTCTAATTTTATATTAATTATGAAAATAAATATTAAATTGTTAACCTCGATAATTTTTTCTATAAGTATTTTTCATGAAGTAATACTTGTTGATTGTAAAAAAAATGAGTATACTACATATTTAAAAGAAGTAATTCATCACGTGCGTTTTCACATAAGACTGTTGAATCTAAAAAATTTGTCACTAAGAACTGAAAATGATGATATTATAAGCATAGAAGGTGTTCTAAATCATATAATTAATGATTTTAATAAATTAGTAATAACATACTATAATATAGTTGATGTAATCAACTATTTATTTATTGAAGTACTCCAAATATTTACTGAACACATGAAAATTATTATAGATGTTTGTGAAAATTATTATAAAAATAATTTATTAAGAAATGCAACTTATTGCACTACAGTACTTTTAAATACAGCTAAAAATTCAAATTTGATGTTTAATTATTTATACAAAGCTATAACATTTATTGATTGCTTAGATGTAAATTCTGTGTGGACAAAATCAGTTCGTCCAAAAACGGTAATAGATGAAATTTATATCGTTCAAAATTATACGTTTTTAATGAAAACGGCAGAAATGCTGAATTATGTAGATAGTGACGAAAACATCAACATTCCTGTAGTTAAAAAAGATTACAAAGAAATAAATAATTTTGTTAATAAAGTAATTGAAATAACAGATAATTTTTCAAGAAACAATATTACTATTATAAATAATACAATAAAATGTAATTTACAAGAAAAGTACTGTAATGAATACAAATCTAATATGTATGAAAATAATTTTGTCGATTATGTTAGTGAAAAATTTAATGTTTACTGTATAAAAACCATTAATAAATATTATTTTGATATGGGATTCAATGAGTTGCTTAAACCTTATTCAGCTCAGTAAGTTTTATTTTTTAATAAAAATATTGCTATCACAATGTAAAAATAATTTTTGATACAGTAATATTAGAGTATGTTATTAGAGTATAATTATTATTCCCTAATAAACTAAATTTTAAAATAATTTCACATCAGCATAAATTACACGAATTAACGGAAGTTGAATTGTCTATTAAGGTGGTCCTTTATTTGACCAACTTTCAAAATACGAAGGGAAGTATCCTGCAATTTATTCTATATGGGGAATAAAAAATGTTGAGTATTCTAGATCAAGCCCTCCATCTAGTTCTTGGTTGGGTAAAATATGCAATATCATGCATATCTAGTAAAATAATAAAGGTTTAAAAAAAAGTGAGGTGTTTTTTTTTACTTTTTACGCATTAATTTCAGTATTACAAACAAATGTCTACTTGCCTTTTTTTAAATAATATATCTTTAAATAAATTTGGTTGTAAGAAATATTAATAAATTCTCAATGTTAAAAGATATTTTATCCAAAACGAAAAAAACAATTTTTTTTTGGTTTTACAATTAACGGTCATATAATAATATACAAAAATATATACAATGACCTTTTATTTTGTTAACATGTTTTCTTACAAAATGGAATCCATACATCTTTTCGTTATATTTAATATTTAAAATGATTCACGACAAAAAATACAATTTTACTCCTATTCGTCTACTTTCAACTCCGTGAGGACGTGAAAGGGTTGATCTAAAATACTCAAAATGTAAGAAACAATTTTATTTACATAGTACAAAATGTATTTAAAATAAATAACAAACTATATTTCTATAATGATTTTTTAGAGGCTAAATAATAACTATTATTGTTTTATTTTAGGCTCACACCTCCTCAGATTACTAAATTCCCCCAAGATAAAGCAATTAAAATACTAAATACTTTGTTCCACGAAGGAAATTGGAATTTATTGAATCATATAAGCATAATAAGTTATAATGAAATAATCACTCTCAATCGAATTATTAGAGACCCTATAGATTATACTAATTTTTATTTGAAAAAAAAATATTTTACACAGCTGATAAGGTGCAGATTTACTGAAGTATTGAAAAACTATAACACGAATATGTCTGCTGTAATACATATACTCAGAAACGAAATAATTAAAAACAATTTAGACAATATTAAAGAATGTACAATTCGATTTTTTGATGCGGTTAAAGAATCAAAAGAAATGTTTAAATATATGTTGTTAGCTTTAGACAAATTAAAAGCTACTTCAATTTGGGAAGTAATGTACCATTCATATGCATGTTTAACGCAAACCTATGATATATTAAGTAATTTTTTATCTAAAATTGAACAGCTTAATTTAACGAAATATGATTTTTTGAATCTTTCTATCGATGATATAAAATTAAATGCCTATAACTTTTTATTCGATTTTCAAAAAACACGAATATCTTTTAATCAAATGGTTTTTCATGGATGTGATTTCGTCAAACAACATTGCTTTATTAAAGGTGGTGTTTTAGAAAAAAATCAATTATTAAAATCATGGAAGGATATAGTTTTATCAGCTAATACTAATAACACTACCGAAAGCCGAAAAATTATGTATGAATACGCTTTGAATCAATTTATATTGTTTTATAAAAATGCTATTACAAATGAATACTTTTGTTTAGGGTTCAATAAAATAATTATCAGTGATTAATGGATATCTTGTATTTTTATTTTATTTTAAATAAATAAGTTTTAACAAAAATTTTACTCTTATTGTAATCGTTTAATTATAAAATTCCTCTAGAATTATTGAAATTATATTTTAAAAATATAGAAATTAATAATTTATCAAATGTAATTAGTCACGGAATCATTCAAAATCGTAGATTTCTTTTATAGTTTTATTACTTTTTAAAATATTGCTTTATATGTAAAGTTTTATAACATATTTCATGATATTATCATTTATGATATCTCTCATTCGAGTAGTTTTATTTTTATTTTTTAACGTATTTCAATTTACCATTAATTCCAAACCGTGGAAATGTTGATTTTACAATGATGACAATGTCTTTCTACATCATTTCGCATTGAAATAGAAAAAGTAGCAGTTAAATAAATAAAATAAATTAATATAAATAAAATTCTAGTTCTAAAATTATGTAAAATCATGACGCAATTGAGTACAGCTATTCTATAGTTTTAAAAATATTTGATTCTTTATGACGATAACTTTGAAATAAAGGTGTAACTTGTTTTAGACACAATGTAAATATCATTGAGTTAATGAAGGTTTTTTTTCTGAGTGTTTTCAAACGTTTTTTAATGTGTCATGTCATTTCTTTCTCTAACAACTCAAACGAACAATAATCATTTTTCGTATTTTAAAAAAATAAAAGTAACTTTAGATTTGATTCTTTTACATTCGTTGACTTAATATTTTACTCTTCAATCCTTTTGCATGAAAGAAAAACAAAACATTTTATGATTTTTGTCCGGATTTCTAGATAAAACTTTTTTTCACGAAGTGATGTCATTTATATCAACAATTTCTTTTCAAACATAAATAAAACTACTGTACATAAGAAGCATTTATAATAATAATTTGAAGTCTCAACAATTTTTTAGTTAATAAGCAGTAAATTTTTTTTTATTTAGTAAAATAGGTGACAAGTGAATCAATTTTAATTAACCTATTTAATTATATATTTTTTCCTTTTTAACTGGGCCACAAGTGTTTCTTAAAAAAAAATACTGTTTACTATTTATGTTGAGAAAATATTTCTTTACTTTTTAACGAGGATTTGTTAAAAATGCATTGCCAAAAAGTATTTCTATGACAATAATCAGTTTCTTAATAAAATAATATTTTTTAGACATCATATTCTGCTACTTATTTTTGCACATTAACACACGAATTTAAGTTGTAAATAACTACGACTATTCACCACATAAATTATCTACTAGTAATTGTTTCAGTGATTACTATTTGAATATTTATTAATTTAAAGAAAAAAAGTTAAATTTTCTAATATTAAAATTATATATATTGGTAAGGTTAAACGAAACAAATAAATACCTATTTATTACTTAGTTACAGTCAACTTATTACTTTGGAGTAAAAATGAACACGTTAAAAATGTTTTTCTTGCGATACAATTTAGAATAGATCAGTAAAACTTTTAGGTTATTCAACTAGATTTTATTAGCTAAACGAGTAGTACTATCTAACTATTACTAATCATGCAATTTTTATTTTTCAGAAACATTGCGTAAATATCCTCTAATGCCTGTAATTCGCTGCATTGTCACTAAACCTTACTCCATCCAAACGAAACAGAAAACGTTGACCATCGAACCCGGTGTCGTTACTTTAATACCAGTGCACGCTTATCACCACGATAAAATACATTTTACCAATCCCGAAACATTCCATCCGAATCGGTTTCCTGGGCAACTGTCATCTGCATACATTCCCTATGGCAGCGGGCCACAATCCTACATAGGTAAGTCATTTCTTTGTTCTCAATTTGGTAATACACTGTAAATGTTAGTCCTTTGGCGCTTGTATAATAGCTAAAAAATTATTCGTCACTTTTATGGTATTAGTAATATCATTTAATGATATACATATAATACTATTCATGGATTTGAGTTTTACAAAATCCGTTCAAACCCTAGTCGCAAATCAAAAGTCGAATTGGATTAAATTTTGGCAAGGAAGAAAACATTTTAGGAAGACTTAAAGTGAATGTACGACGGATGTTCCTGTAAAATTATTTGCTACTAGCTGAGATAATTATTAAATTATTTGTATCTAATTTTAGAATTTGCATCGAAAATAACAGTTATATAGAAAAACTAATAAATATTTACTGAGTAACAACAGGTAAACGTTAATTAAAAATTCTCTGAAAGTTTAAATTCTGTCAATAATTTGATGCGTATCATTATATTTATGGAACTGTCACTTCTTGTCAACAGTATGACAGAATGAAAATTCTATTGTATTCAGTATTTTAGGATGTATGAAAAATCGCAATGGTTATTCGTCACCCACACTCTTGACAATGCTCTTTGTACAGTTTATCTCGTATATTCTATGAAAGTCGCTCACGACGCTTCAAAGTTTCAGCCGTGAAAAGTTGATTAAATTTTTTTAATAAAACTCCTACTGAATATTATAACAAAAGCAGTATTACTATTTCTGTCAAATGTGTATTATTTTCATTATAGTTAGAGATAAATGATGGTGTGTTTTTTGGACTCGTAAATTTATTTCCTTGTAACTCATCAAGTTAGGTATAGATGTGTATTAATATAAATGCATCTCCTAATTGTACTTAGTTGGATCACTAATTTTAATAGTGTGACATATCTCAAGGTCAAATTAAATATGAGATTTTATTTAAAAAAAGATAGGCTTGCATATTATATACCATTCTTGTACGTGAGATAGAACCTTAACAGTAGAGCTATATTTTTTCTGACTAAGTGATTACTTCAAATTAAACTAATGTCAGAATTTATAAAAAAAATGTTTTATTATTTACTAATTAATTTACTAATAATAAATTTAATTATTTATTAATAACTATCCGTCGTCCAGAATATCATAGGACGCGTTTCCTTCGGGATTTTACTTAATTATGAAAACGCATAAAACTCAATGAATGTACTAAGATTTGTACAAATTATCAAAAAATTGTTAATTCAGATCTGAGTGGAATATAGTTCATATTTTTTAAATGACAACAATGAAACTGATAAAATCAAATTAAAACTGAATAAACTGGCTCTTTTTGAAACAAATATTTTATTTCTAAAAGCGTTTAAAAGAATAAATGCATTTGAACCTGCCTTATTTTAGTTTATTACTATAAATATCAGTAAAACGGAATGTATTTAATATTCTATTTTAAAAATACTAAAAATATATGAATTAATTAGTTTTTCTTTGTAAGTTTAAGTTAAATACAATAAAGAAAATAAATTATACTTCTTGGAAAAAAACTATTAAAAACTTTTTTATTAGAATATTTCTACTGATAAATTTTCAACAAGTAAGATATCACACTATTCACTGGTGTTTTTTGCAAATGTGTTGACGACGAAAACTCGAAAAAGACATTTTTTTTAACGATACAATCGCATTTTACCTTTCTAAAACCTTTTCAATATAAATTATTAACAATGTGCGTGTATAAAAATGATAAAATGTACACTATGAATAGTGCAGTTTCTAGTATAATACACGATTCCGCCAGTATTTAACATAATCTACATTCTAATTATTATACTTGATACACAATAGTGAAATAAAGATTTTATTTAAAGTTTTATTAATTTTACAAATGTTTGCTTAACATGAAAAACAATTATTAAAATTTTGTGTTAAATCTTATTTGAAAGTTTGTTATTGTTTATGATATAATATTGTTCATACATTTATAACACTCTCAATTGTTATTAAGTCTCAGAATTGCCCTTTATCTACGTCGAATAATTATAGTCAGAAGAAAATATAGTAAATGTGCCATCATCAATATTAATATTTTACTCACTTTTGAGTCGGTTTTAGATTTCATTTAGAATTCATTACAAACCTAATAAGAAACATCTTGAAATAATTTCATTGAATTTAAAATAACTAGTAAACAGGCGAAATCGCGCAATCCACTCGAGGAAAATTCTCTTCTCCTCTTTCAAATTAATAATAATCTTTATTTTATTATAGACCTTTAGATAAATTATTTTGTTGTAACATAATTTATAAATGAACAGAGGATATTCATTTTCTTTAAATTTAAGCTTCTGAATATTATACAAAAAAACACTTTAGTAATGATTAAAGTAAAAATTAACCGCGTCTAAATTTTAATAGGAAATTCATTGTAATCATAACTTTCTTTTAGGATAAAAAATTAACTTATTTTAATAAACAAGCTTCTGAAATAATACGTATATTTAATAACTCCATGATGTTAAAATTGAATTGAAGTTTTTTTTTTAACAGGTAAACATTTTATTGGATTAGAAGCTAAAATGATAGTTGCAATATTATTATCTAAATATGAATTTACTGTGGATAAAAGGAATCCCGGAAAGGCACCAAATCCTTTCGATAAATCTTCATTTAGTGAATTTCGTGTCCAGCTCTCAAGCAGAATGGCCCGAAATTGTGTAATGGAACAATCTTTACAAGAATTAAGTAAAAAAAACAAATTATTTAAATTATTTTAAAACAGGCTAAAATTTGAGAAGTCATAGAAAAGCTAAAATTATTGTACTATTAGACATAACTATTTTTTATATTTAGCTAGGAAAATAAGCCCTCTAACCATTGAAGTGATAAATTAAGTTTATTTTATAGAAATTTAATTGATTAATTATTTACTTATATAAAATGTATTCCCTAAATTTGTATAAATTAATTTTTTATTTTTCAATTAAAACATTACAAGTTAAGAAAATGAAAAACTAATTAGTGGTTTTTTCAAAAAATTGGTTCTAAAAGGAACGGGATTTATAAAAAAGAATAATTTAATGAATGAATTCGTTTTTTGTAAAAAGTACATGGAATTCGATTTTTGAAGGGAATACAACTATATTTTCGTTCCAATAATTTTATTTATATTGTATAACTAGATAAAGTAGTGTAAATAGTATCAATTTTATGTTTTAATATTTAATTCATATAATTTAAATATACATCATAACTCGCAGGCTAACTCAAGTTTGATATTCATTACAGAAATATATAATTATTTGATTAAAGAAAGAATAGTTTAAACAATAACCAATATATTCTCAATTATTTTTAATATATAAATTTTAATAAAATGTTTAAAATACCTATGGATGTATTTTAAATTTGTTTGATATTTTTTATGATCATTGCACCGACATAAAAAAATGCTTTATATCTTAAAATGTAATTATTTAAAAATTGACTAATTTATATCTTGAAGAAAAAAAGAGACGAAATTAGTGTAAGTTTTTTGTGGAGTACGAGGAATGAAGAAATAATTTAATTTTTGATATTCTATTTATTGTTTATTCTTCAAAGGTCAAAGTTTAAACACAAATGATCAATTATTAATAAATAATTCATTAGTTAGTTAGTTTAAGCAAAATATTGTACTTAAAAATTTCTTGTTAACATATTGTCTTGCTAAATAATGTTATAAAAAATTTTTCTACTGGTGTTTAAATTGATAGAACGTGTAAGTCTATTTAATTAGCTATCAGTGAAGCTTTTAGTTTCCAAATAATTATTAATTAGTTATGATTTATGAAAATACTATAAAGAAAATAAAAGTTGAATAAAATTTAAGTTCTTAAATAAAAATAAATTATACCTTTTGACAGATTAATTAGCTTATATAAAATATATGTTTTAACGAAAAATATTTTCTTTTAGATAAAGTTTTTTATGTGGTATATATTGTTATGATAAAATAAAATCAAAATACTACATTTTAAAAATATTTTTTTTTACCTAAATATTGATTTGAATTATTCTCCAATTACTTTACGAATTTGTTCAACTGACTTACCAGTAACATAAAATCCATAAGTTAAAAAAATTATTGTAAGTATAATGTTACATAAACTGTTATTATTATATTGATACTATTGTCCAGTGAAGGCTTTAAACGCCCTATTTTAGTCTCCTTAGGATGATTTGTGACTTCAATCTTACTTGGTATGGTTTTCTGCTAAAATTATTGAATAGTCCATCAAATAGCTAACAGCAACCAGAGTGGCTTAACATTAACAAAACATCATGATTAAGCGTCCACTACGGCTCCTTCACATAAATAATTATACATGCGAATTTAATAATGAAAACTTTTTTATAGATGTAACAAGCAAGCAATAACACAACTCAAGTTGATAAGTTTTAAAAAACCATTAGGTAGTTAGTCGAGTAAGGCGAAGCCATATTCAACCAGCTCTAAATCTGGCCATGCCATTAGTTACAAGCGGTTTGCATAAATAAATATTAATATTATTTTACAATTTATAATACAACATCATCTTTTGTATTTTACTATTTATTGGAAATAGAATGGGAAAACTTATGTAGCTTAATGCAAATGAGTCGGAGCACGTCACTTACGCTCCCAGACAACACGTCTAAAACATAACTGCAGAGAGAGAACACAGCTACAATACAATAAAATAAAAAGAATAATTAAAATAGAATTTGAAAAATTGCAAAAATAATGAATCAAAAAAATTTTGATCCCATTTAAATGTTCTTAACTTATTTGCCTTTCATGGAAACTAAAGTTAAGAACGTGGGACACCGACCTACATGGCGAAACATAGCAAGTTGGACCAAATTAGGATTAAAAAAAATAAATAAAATAATATAATAATGGAGTCAATTTAGGTATTCTATCGATTTGAAAAAAAATGATTGAAGTTACAGATTATTTTATAAGTCTACATTAAACGAAAAAAATGTATAAAGTAAAAAAATTACACTTATTGACCATGTTAATATAAATATTAAGTGTAAAAAACCCAGCACAGTGGGGATGTGGCATAGTTGGGTCAAATATAATGATATCTGACAGTGATTAAAATCACTATCATAAAAAACGCTTCAATGCAAACCTGTAGATAGTGTTTAATTAAAAAAAATTAATGGATTATTCCAAAAGCTACATTATCTCCTATTTTCTTTTTTATATACTGATTACAAGTTTTATGATTTATAATTGTAATATATGAATAAATAAATATATAATATATAAATATATAAAGGGAAATTGTGTTATTTTAAAAGAAAAGTATGTCGAATGAAAGAAGGATATAAATATTATTTCTCATAAAAAATTGTATTGATCCATACACTTTTCAATAAGTTATAGCATTATAAAGTTGAAAATTTAAAATGTAAAATCGAGAATTTTCATACCAAAATAGCATTTGGTAACTATTTTCACCGTGAAGACAAAATAAAGTCCGAAAAATTTTTTTCCAAAATAAAGTATATTACATTATCTTTAATTTAAGATATATATATGTAAGTGTCAGATTTTCCGGAACACTTTCAAAAGTTTAGTTGAAACAGTTAATTTTTTGTAAAAAAGTTGTCCTTTTAAATCCCTCCCTGTGGACAGGTAAAGGGTCAGATTTATAAAAAAATATACCAAATGATATGTAAAGACAACATGCATCTATAAAAAAAAAGTTATATTGATTTCGTAATTTTTAAAAATTTTATGGCAATTTTAAGTAAAAAAAATTGAAAAAATGTCGAAATTTAGCGATTTTAAAATTTGTAATTTTTTTGGAGATTTCTTCCATTTACGGGGAACAAGGGAAATTTTTCAATTTTTGAGGGTAATGTCTTCGACTAGATACGATTTGTGATCTTTTGACGTATCGTTAAAAGAAATCGATTCGGTGAGAATAGAGAAAAAGTGGTAACAAGCAAAAAAAAAAAAATTTAAATAAAAAAAAAACACATCATAGTAAAACTAATACCTTTTCAGCTTCGCATCGAAGCTAAAATTGTTGACCTAAAATAAAATTAAGTCGTATCTCGTGATCGCTTAACCGTTGACGGCTGTTGTACACCAAAACCTCGTGATAGAATCATCACTTTAACATGTTTAGATGGGATGACCTCAGAAGAGTCCGTTTCATAGCTTATAAGCTAGAAGAAGAAAAGTTTTTGAAAGGTGATAGTAATAAAATAAAATGAGTCAGTTAAACAAGAAATTCGCACAAAAAAAAAAGAGTTTGTGATTAAGTTAAATTAAGGGAACTTAATTAAATTAAAGAACAAGTTAATAAGAGGCAAAAAATCAAATGGTTACAAAATGTCTTCTGAAATGAAAAGAGATCAGAGAAGAAGAAAAATTAGACATTAATAAAAAAATAACACCCAAAACTTTTACTTTTAGAGAATGCGATGAACGTCTTCTATGCAACCGATTAGCATCAAACATGACGTACTATTATTCTAGCCCTAAGCTGATGAACTATTTGTTAATAATTAGATTACAACTTGCAAGACATTGGAACACCGCGGGTTAGTGAACGAACCACTTTTCATATCATATTGCCAGTGAAATATTCATCACCAATAAATACATAAATTATGGTAATCGATATTAATAAATAATTAATATTTAAAACTGTGTGGACGATCTTGGAACGCCTCCATCACCTTTGGGAACCTAAAAATCCTATTAAAAAAATCACAAAAAAAGAACATAAACATGACAGGTAATCTTGTAATACGTCTGCCGTGTTGAGGGACCTATAAAAATAATAAGGGAACCTACAATAATATAACCAAACAAATATCGCAACACGTGTATATGACACGGCCTATTAGAAAATATAATAAAAAAATTTGGCTTGATCGCGTTTAAAAAAAATTATACATTACCAGACATGCCGAATGACTAAAAAAAACTGGAAATATTTTTAAATGCATTAAATTTTTACCATTACAGATAATATCTACAACGCTATCTCCGTGTTTTCGTTAAACAATAATATAATTTAATGAAAAACTTGAAGGAAACGTTTGTGCATTATTTTAGTAGCCTACTAAAATATTATACAAACCCTTTTATAGCTCGCCAATAAACGACTATTTATAAAATTCATGATACCAATTTGCAAACACTATAATATATTACAGGTACAAAATTCATCACTCCTAATATAATGTTTTCGAATAATATAGTTTAACAGCTGAAAAGTATAAGAGGATAGAAACAGGACTAATAAAAATACACGTCTTCCCTTAATATGTTATGAAAGATGTTATGTGCCCTATAAAACCATAAATAGAAGTAATAAATGTTTGACATTTTATTGTTCCTACTTTTCTACTCGGGCAACAAAAAAAAAGGTATATGTAGCTCAATAAATATTTACGAAGAAAGGAATCTTGCCTAGAAATTCTTAGTATTTGTATAGGTTTCGAAATGTTATTATCGTCTATAGGAAAACAAATAATTTGCCAATCATATACAATGTATGAAACTATTAATATTTTAGTTACTGTAAATATATATCAATTATTTTACTTTATAGAACAGTAAGTAAATTTTTAACGAGATAGAATCGCGAGAATGAAATTTAAACAATAATTAAATAGTGCTTTTTAATATTTTATTATACAATACTGTGATGAAAATGTGATATTACTCTTTGTTCTATTCAATAAAAACTATTCAGTCACAAAGATACAGCGAAAATTATGAAAAATTGATATATCGATAACTTAAAGGATTCAATGTCACAGTTGTTCCTTTATACCAAAATTAATTTTAAATAACTTCATTACATTCTCGATTTTTACCGATATAAATGGTTTATTAAAACTACATTATCCAAACATAAAATCGTTAAAAAATCTATTACTTTTATATTCCATACGCTTTTGGTGTTTTTCTCTAATAAACTAAATTAATGAACACTTTTCAATAATAACATCAAATATGGAGGACATATATTTACTTATTTAATATGATACAATTTGTAACATAAAATCAATAATTAATTAATTAATAATTTATTTATAACATATTGTAATTAATCCAAAATAGTAAAATTATTTTATTTATAAATTAAGTTCTTTTTATAATTATTGATGTCTTGGCTGTAAATAAAAGTTCTATTATCAAATAATATTATCTTTGGCGTTACTTTGCGACACTTGAAGTACAAAGAGTGTAGAAACATATTTAATTATGTTTTTTTATTGGATTACATAGTAGCTATAAGATAAAAGTATTCAATTAATAAATGAATTAATAAAAATATATCAAATGAATGTTGAATTGATTATTTCGTTAATTTTAACACATTTTGGTACAATTTAATCTAAACTTTTATTGTGCCGAATGTAACATATTGTGTATAAATCATAAAAAAATTAAACAAATTTAACCTTTTAGCAACGATAAAAAATCAAAATGTGTGTCATAGTTATAATTGTTACAATACTATTTTTATTTAACTGTCCTAAAATAATTTTGTTTACTTTTTAAGTGTTAACATATGCCTACACACAATACAATGGCAAGATATTTTCAAAGTGGTCTAAACACCATTTTTTTTTTTTTTTGCTTATTACCTACTCTTACTAGTGCCAAAGTCATAAACTGTTAGTAGTTATAATTGGTCATTGAAGGAGGTTATAGACTTACTGTCCACACCCTTTGGGTAAGCCACTGTTACAAACATTTTCTATCATTTATAAATAGAAATGTTTAAATTTGCGTCTCTGACCTGTGTCGTTTTGACATGCCCTAAATACGGCTCTGTATTGAAGTAATTCTTAATTTAACAAAATTATTTCTAAAACGTAGTTTATGGTGTTTTTGATGTAACGGGACGTCGTTCGTAGGATTTCGTGTTCGTTTAGTTGTTAACTATATTTTTCTGACCCATATAATCTCATAAGATTGTTTGTCTCTGACAATATGTGTTTATTT